CACATAACTGAAAGGAAGTTTGCTGGATTTTGCAAGTAAAAATAAGGATGTGCAGTTAAAGTTGAATTTCAGGTAACACATAATTATTTAGTGTATGTCTCACATGTAAATTTTTGCAATTTTATAGTTTATTATATAATTTAGTAATTTATAATTTTAACCTAATTGTATCCTTATTTTATCTGATATCCTATCTAAAAGGGGATGGAGCTCTTGACCAGACTTAACAAGCAAATCTTTCCAGGTATAGTGAGCTTTGAGCTCAGCTTTAAAGGAAGTTTGGGACATGGAAGAAATGATGATGATAGAAATAAAGAAAGAAATCAATAATTAAATTCCTACTGTTTTCTGAATGCTCCAGTAGGCACTTGTGGTGGATTAATAATGGTCAACTTGAGTGGGAACACCCAGCTGAAAGCTGAATTCAGTCAGTATGGTTCGGGGCGGGTAAGACCCACCTGTGCAATGTTGTCCAGAGAGTATTGAAGCAGAATGGGCAGGGAAGATTTCCTGCTGATTTACCTGGAGAAGCTTAGCTATTTTCTTTCCTGGAGAAACTTGGCTGCTTTCTTTCCTGGAGAAGCTTGGCTGTTTTTTTTCTCGAGGAAGCTTCAGCTGTTCTTGTCAGAGGATTTGGGTACTTGCTGTTGCCAGAGATGGCTGTTGTTCTCTTTGGGGCAGCTCTGGTCTTCACTTTTGTCTTGGGCTTCGTCTTCTGGCTCCAGGGCAGATCCTTAAGCCTCCTGATGCAGATCATTCAACATTTTGGCACAGATTCTCCAGCCTCTAGCACTAGCTCTTGAATTTTCCAGAGCAGACCCTTCAGTTCTGTCTCAGATTCCTTACCTCCTAATATGAACAGGAGCAGATATTGCTGTGGACTCTAGGCTTTCTGCTGGACTCATGAGGGACACTGCTGTGGGATCCAGGCCCTAGGCTGAATTCTTCAGATCTCTAGCCCAAACAAATCTCTTGTACTCTTCTACATTTGACTTTGTAGATGAATATTGTAAGGTAATCTTATAAATTTATGTGTCCTGCATTAAATCTATGCCCTTGCAAGCCGCAGTACACTTTAATGTATTTTTTATTCATTCTAACCTCAGACCAATGCTGTGAAGTAGATATAATTAACCTTTTTTCAATATAAGTCAAGAAATTAATACTCAGAAGTTCCATAACTTGTCCAAGGTCACATAACTAGTGAAGGGTAGAAGCCAGATTCATATTAGGGGGGCTTCCCATGAAGTCCACAATCATGAAGAAGAAACAATACACAGATGAGGGATGACAGCCAGTCCTTCCTGTTCATAGTAGGGGTTAGTCCTATTTGTGTCCAGACAAGAAAAGTTAACTCTGAAGGTCAAGATGTGTCTGGGTTTGATTCATGTGCAAGTTATTTTGAAAATGAGACATAAGCTTTAGTATCAGATGGGTGAGCAAAAAGAATGAAGAGGCAGGGAAATGGATTAGAAGATTTTTTTCTAGTAATTTCCTTTCGAGTTAATGTGGACTTGATCTAGGGTGGAAACTCAGAAGGAGTAGGGAATGGGTGTTCAGTGCTGACAAATCTTGATCTTGGTAATGAGGAGCCTCCAAAGAGACTTTGAAAGTGAGAACAACAAATTTACTTGTAGATACATTGTAGGATCTCATGTGGCGCATGTATTAAATAACTCGCAATGTGAGCCCAGAGAAGTTTTGGGTGATGTCAGAAAATGAAGGAAAGAGGTTGAAGGGTAGGATGAGGAGGTTAGAGAAACAGGCAAGTGGCCGATGGAGATGAGAGGAGCAGTGAGGACTAAATAACCTGTTTAGGGAGGCAAACCCATGACTGGGCCTCGCTCATCTGTGTGAGTCAACCTGTCTAGATGATGTCCTTTCCAGCTCTGTAGAAAGTCAAGGCCATATTCTGTAGTGTGGCATCAGTTTAAGGGTGAGACAGCTATAGTGGAAAGGTTGGCGGTATCAGTCGAGAATTTCTGCACAAAATTATAAGCCCAAAATCTTCAGTGTGCTCTTGTTTTAAGACAAAGTGGCACCAGGTCCAGGGGCTTAGGCCTATAGTCTCAGATACTCACGAGGTAGGAGGATCACAAATTCGAGGCCAAACTTGGCTACATAGCAAGATTCTGTCTCGAAATAAAATAAAATTACTGGGGATATAGTTTAGTGCTAGAGCATTCCTGGGTTCAATCTCCAGCACTGTAGAAGTAAGAACAAAAACACAAAACAAAATGACATAATAATCTGGTTTCAGAGTTTTTACAGCTGTGCTGTGGCTTGAAAGTATGGTTATCTTTAGAGAAAATTAAAGGGGAACCATTTACATGCCCTAAGTAGGTGGAAAGTGATCTAAAATCATGTTTTTGTTTTCTTGATCTCTCTGCCAAAGTCTTGGGCTAATCAGTTAAATATTTTGATCTGATGTTTTCGATTGGATACTACAGTCTCATGACTGATGTGTTCAAAATTCCAGATGTAGAATTTGCCCCTCAATGTGAATTTAACACAGATACTGTAGTTTGCCAAAGTGTATTTTTTCTGCAGTAATTTGTTTTAATCAAATTATACTTCAGTATCACCTGCTTGTAATGGTGCCAAAGTGTCTTAAAGGCGCAGTGAGTGACAATGGCTTAGAGTTAGTGTTTGTGAATAATGCCTTCTCAATAAGAAAATATTCTGCATTATTTTGTTGGATAATTGAAATATCCTAATTGTATTTGAACAGTAAATCTCAGGTGAATAACCTGATGGTCAGTAAGTCTCAGGAACACATTCTAGGTCTATTACTTTTAAACAGAGTAAGGAGGGAGCCCCCATACCTGTATGCATACTGTGTCATTTGGAAGGACATTTAACCTCCTTACGCCTGAACTGGCTGCCGAGAGGGATGGGATGAATGCTTTTAGCACTATCTAGATTAATGCAATCTAGGAAAGTTATCTGCTGAATGGCAATAAGATGTTTCCCTTACCTGCTGAGCTTGTGTCCACAGGGAGCTTGCTGGTGATTTAGGGCCAGAGCCAAGGCTTGACTTGCAACTCCTCCTAGTCTACGTGATGCTAAGCTTCTTTTCTGAGAGGATTCTAAGCTTCTGTTTGCAGATCAGAGTCATCTGATCCACCCTCCTCACCCCAACTCTTCCTTCTTCTCTTTCTCTTTTTCAGCTCAGTCACCAAGGCCTTTGGGAAGCTTTTATAGAAGGCCTTGGGGAAGTTCCAGATATGTGAAGGTGGCAGTTTAGAGCAAGAAAAAAAACCAAAAAAACAAAAAAACTAAACAGAACTTAATTGTTAGCGTTTTGGTTGTTGTTGTTGTTGACTTTAATTAATTAATTAATTAATTGGTACCAGAGATTGAACTCTGGTCCTTGCGGTTGCGAGGCAGGTGGCCACACAACTGAGCCAAATCCCTGGCCCAAATATCAGTTTTAATATCATTCTTTGGCTGTGTCTGTTTGAATGAGGCAGACATGAAAGATTTGATTGGTTGATTCCTCAGTGCTCAGTGACTGGTACGTCTATAGCATACATGTCTCTTCTCTGGTGCCCCAAGCCTCAGAGTACCAAACTTAACCCCGTGTTGCACTGGACTCAGTATGATTGGGATCTCTCTCCTTTTGCAGTAGAAGCTTCAGTATCTGGAAGAAGCCAAGAATCTCTAGATCGTGGTTTGTGTTATATACTTAATGCTTATGGCTCCTCCAAATTCTTATGCTGAAATACACACCCCCAAGTTAGTGGTATTAGGAGATGGAACCCCTGGAAATTGAGTAGATCATGAAAGTGATATCCTCATGAAAGATTAGTGTCCTCATAAGAAGAGACAGAAGAAAGATGCTTTTTCTCTTTGCCATGTAAGGATACAAGACAGTCCTCTGAAAACCAGGTTGAACATCCCAGACACTAGTGGTGCCTTGATCACAAACTTCTCCCCCTCAAAACTGAGCAATCAGTGCTTTTTTTTGTAGACACCAAGTCTATGTTATGCCATTATAGCAGCCTAAACTTACTAAGGCGATTTGATTTCCCCTAGAAGCTGACCCTAAGAAAAGGTTTTGAGGTTAATTTGAGAAGTTATCCTAGAAAACAGGAGAAGGTGAGTGGGGAAGCAAGACAGAAGGGAAAGCAGCCAGTCAATGGTGCAGAATCAAGTGGGTTACTACTGGGGGCAACTGAAATCAGTCCCACAAGGAACCTCGGGGAGGTAGAGTGGACCCTGACTCAGAGCTGCTCAGCAACAACTGAGACACAAGTCCTCCAACTCTCCCCTATAATCTCTTGAAGGCTAATCCTGGGGGAATTCACTCCCTGGAACATTCTCTTTACTCAACTTTATAATAAATACTAAGCAAGAGAAAGACCTGTTAGTTTTAATGAAAAACAAAACCACTGGTGCATTTAGGAGAACAAGTGTCCATCTTGATTCTAGGCTGCTTCCACTCATATTTTTTGAAGAACAAAGTGGTGCAGCATTACATTGCAATGCCCAAGACTTCTCTGTTAGTAGAAGAGCCCAAGAGCCCATTTGCTTCCGATATGAGCTTCAATTACCCTCTTCCTAAGGATTGTTCTAACTTCTCCTTACCTCTCATTCCAACTTTCATGATTCTTAAATGAGGATTTCTTAAAATGTCACTTCTCGGGATGTAGGGAGAAAGGAACCCTTCTGCAATGTTGGTGGGAGTGCAGACTGGTGCAACCACTGTAGAAATCAATATGGAGATACCTCAAAGAACTAGGATTAGAGGTTCCATTTGACCCAGCCATCCCTCTGCTGGGTATCTTCCCCCCAAAATTAAAAGAATCATACCACAGTGATATATGTGCACCCATGTTTATAGTGGTACAGTTTGTAATAGCTAAAACTTGGAAGCAGCCCAATTGCCCATTAGTTGGAGACTGGATAAAGAAGATGTGTGTTTTTTTTTTTCTATAAAATGGAGTACTACTCAGCCATAAAGAATGAGAACTAGAGATCGAGCTGGAACAGCATCCAGAACAGAGCACTTTGCTCCTCTCTCAGGATGAATGGAGACCAGAAATTGGATGTTTATGCTCAAGAAAAGCAGAATTTCATCCAGCACTTCTCTCAGATTGTCAGGGTGCTGACTGCAGATGACCCAGAGCACCCAGAGACTGGAGATGTCCTTGCCCGGCTCAAGGAGATCCTAGAGTACAATGCCATCGGAGGCAAGTACAACCGAGGTTTGACGGTGCTGGTAGCATTCCGGGAGCTGGTGGAGCCAAGGAAGCAGGACGCTGTCAGTCTGCAGCGGGAGCTGACCATGGGCTGGTGTGTGGAACTGCTGCAGGCTTTCTTCCTGGTGGCAGATGACATCATGGATTCATCCCTTACCCGCCGGGGACAGGCCTGCTGGTATCGGAAGCCAGGCGTAGGCTTGGACGCCGTCAACAATGCTCTCCTTCTGGAGGCCTGTATCTACCTCCTGCTGAAGCTGCACTGCCGGGAACAGCCCTACTACCTGAACCTGTTGGAGCTCTTCCTGCAGACTTCCTACCAGACTGAGGTCGGGCAGACTCTGGACCTCATCACAGCCCCGCAGGGTCAGTTGGACCTGAGCAGATACACCGAGAAGAGGTACAAGTCTATTGTCAAGTATAAGACAGCTTTCTACTCCTTCTATCTGCCTGTTGCTGTTGCCATGTACATGGCTGGCATTGACGGGGAGAAGGAGCACAGCAGCGCCAGGAGGTTCCTGATGGAGATGGGCGAGTTCTTCAGATCCAGGATGATTTCCTTGACCTTTTGGGGGACCCCAGTGTGACAGGGAAGATTGGCACTGACATCCAGGACAATAAGTGCAGCTGGCTGTTGGTTCAGTGCCTGCAGCGGGCCACTCCGGAGCAGCGCCAGATCCTGCAGGACAATTACGGGCAGAAAGACGCCGAGAAGGTGGCGAGGGTGAAGGCACTGTACGAGGAGCTGGACCTGCTGCGGTACGAGGAAGACAGCTACAGCCGCCTCATGAGCCTCATCCAGCAGCACACCGCACCGCTACCCCAGGCCATCTTCCTGGGGCTGGCGAACAAGATCTAC